CGCGCGCATGTTGCGCCAGAGTGGGCTGAGCCACCCACCAAAAGAACCCTTCACATAACGGCTACTCCTCAAGCATTACCTGCAATAGGGGTAAATAAACCCTGAGTACACAATGTACTCGCAAGACTTATCTGACTAGTGAGAATACTTTCTTGACTTCAAGGAATATGCAAAGCTTTATGGTTTGCTGGTTTTCATTTTTGCAGAAAGCAATACTAATAGTGAGTCCTTATTTATGTTATTATTAGCAGTCATGATTACTTTATTATCTAGCCATTCTATGTAAGCACCTGTTCCACTTTCAAGCAAGAGTTGAGCAATCAGTTCTATTTCATCACCTTCCATCTTTCAGTTCTTACTACAATGCTAGACCGTAGACAAGCCGTACCAGATTGCCTGGTGATTTGTGAATTAATGCCCCCAGCTGGGTACCCTAAAAACACACGCCCCGCTTGTACCCCAAGCACAAGCAGGACTAACCCATCACCCTCCTATCACGGGGTTCAGGTCCCCGTCCAAACTTAGACTCCAAGCCCCCGCTCCTAAGTGCCGGACTTAGTGCAGTGCAAGGACCTCCACCATCCCCACCTCCAATCAGTCAGTCCAGAAAGAGCCAGAACCCACGACAAGAGAGCAACAAGTCTTCCCTACGCCCATACCCAAGTATGTGCTCGGGATAATAAATCTATGACTTGCCTAGAGACTTATGCAACGACCGGTCCTTAACCGACACAAACAGGGAAAAAGTGTAACCAAGCTATGCCCGGTTGGCCACAAGACACAACCTCTTACACCCATCAATACCCAAACCATATTCCTGCTGGATCTCCATTTTCCTTTCCACCATTTTATCATAAGTGATCATAATCTTCACCTATTGTGAGTAACGGTAGGTTACTCACGCTATCGATACCCTGAGCATAGCAGCTACTCGACCTATACAAGTAGGACTCATAGGTAAGTATATCTATACATGTAGTTTTCATAAAATGCCTATAACGTAAATGCACATCATATATATATTCAGTAATCATTCAAAAATAGGGGGTTATGCACCGGGGCTTGCCTTGGGCAGGCGGTGGGTCAACAAAGTCAGCAACGAATGGCTCCGGGGCTCCCTCCTGTATGAGAATATCCTCCTTGTACTCCTCAATGACCTTCTCATAGTCCCGTTCGTCCGTAGGCACGAACTGTAACGTCCAGTTTCGACATACATGGCCCAGGCCCACTCTTTCCGAGGAGTGGTCCGACCCGCGTAGCAACCCGTTTGAACTTTCGTCCTCGCTTCGTTCAAAACGGTTAACCGAAGGTTACTACGCGTCCCTGGCCCTGGTATTTAAGTTGATCTGGCGAATCCTGAGTTTCCAGTATGGTACTAAACCTGGTTGCACAGTGTTTTCGCGGTGCTACAGTAACTCGTGAACAGTACCACGGATTTTGCCGTCCCGTTTTCGGGTGAACAGTACTCGGTCTACCGTACCCCGAAGTTCGGATGCTACAGCATCCGGCCCATTCTGCTACAGTACCGCCGGCCCATAACTGAATTGGATTAGGCCCACTCTGGCCCATTAGGATGTTACAATCATCCCCCCTAAGGAGCCAGACCAGCTTACCCTTTCGGGACACTTATTCCAGGATTCGCCTCTCTTCAACACGTTTGTGTGGCCCCATGCCGGCGCATGTGCATGCCATGTCGTGTCCACGACGGGCCCACGCACATACAAACAACATGCCCGTGCAGTTGTCCCCACGTGCCCGTGAAACCTCGAGAGTCGGCTCTGATACCAAATGTAACATCCAGTCCCGACATACATGGCCCAGGCCCACTCTTCCGAGGAGTGGTCCGACGCGCGTAGCAACCCGTTTGAACTTTCATCCTCGCTTCGTTCAAAACGGTTAACCGAAGGTTACTACGCGTCCCTGGCCCTAGTATTTAAGTTGATCTGGCGAATCCGAGTTTCGAGATGGTACTAAACCCTTGCATGCAGTGTTTTTCGTGGTACTAGTTGATCTACCGCGCGCCCAAAGTTGATCTACCGCGAATCCTAAGTTGATCTACCGCGCGGCCCAAAGCGCGAGTGGCTCGCCCACTCTGGCGCAAGCGCTGCTGCTGCATGGACGACGACGGAGCAGCAGCACGCGCATGGCGCGGGCCCAATCACAAGAGCGATGGCCCGCGACGGGGAGGACCCGCGCGCGCCGGTCATCTTGCGAAAATGCCCTCGGTCTACCCGATAATCACGCGAACACTAAGATCACTATTCTGCCAGTCCGCTATCTTACAACTACGCCCCTCCCCCTTTCCATCTTTACCACGGCCATACCCTCGAGGTCGGTGGGAAGGAAGCTCAAATTGGAGCATGGCGCGGCAAGGCACACTACAAGCTGGGGTCGGGTGGTTGGCTGACTACACGACGAAGCCGTGGATGGGGTTAATTGGATTGAGGTGGCTCCACCGGGTTGAATTGAGAGGCACAGGTCCGACGACCACGGCGACAGAGGAATAGGGGAAGACAGGCCTGGCTTGGCTCGTCGCTGTCATGGCAGGACGTGGCTGTCAACTCGGTGCACAAACGCGCACGGGCTACAGGGCGATGGGGGGACAGCGAAACGTGCTACGGACGTTGGCCGCATGGCCATAAACCGCAAGCCAACGACGGTAGCTCGGTCCCACGCGCCATAGTGGATGGCGCCGGTCAGCGCAGCGTCACATCGAGGCGGATGTGATGGCAATGTAGGCGGGCAAGCCCACGCACGGCAAGGCGACATGCGGGTAGGGCAGTGCGCGGCCGAAGCAAGTGTGGTGTGCCGCCGCGCAGCGCACCGCAGTACCGCGACAAAAAGCAAAGCGCAAAGCAGAGAGCGGCCAGTGGACGCGCGGCAGCGATGGAGCGCGACGCGGGCGACATCACACAAGCGGCTACGGCTAGCAGCAGCATGGTGACACGACCCACGGAGTCAGCAACACAGCGAATCGGCGGCAGTGGACTAGCCAGGGCAGCGGGCCTGCGACGATGGCGGTGGTGGCCGAGCGGCCAGGTCACCTGGCACGGCGTGCGCGTGCATGCATGGGGGCTTGTGTGCGGGAGCGCGTGCAATGAGCGCGGCAGTGGTGGTGCGAAGCCCACGCGCGGCGCACACGGGTGCACGTGTGGGCGAGCGGCGACGCCGGCCAAGTCGCGGTGACCGCGGCCAGACGCTGCCACCGTTCAAAAACGTGTCCTGCACGCTTTTAAAGCGTCCCAAAAATCCATCTCAATGCTTCAATCGCTAAACCAACTATTTTACACTTGAGATGGCATATCAAGCTACTAAAACAAGCCCTAAGAACATACCACTGCCAAACCCGATGCTCCTATAACAATTCCCAAACTTAGCCTCGTCACACCGTTTTCTAACTTAAGAAATTCGACTAAGCTTTGATCGGTTTTGCCTCAAATGCGATTTTCAAGCTATTAAGTAAGCTAGCTAGTGACTCCCGTTCTCGATCGCAAGTATTTCATCGTCACCTACGAATCTTATACTACAAACTTTATTAAAGTTTCATATATGCATTCTATAACATTCTCGTTCAATAAAAATTTGTTTAAAACCGTAAGTGATAAAACGAGGCATGGAATGTAACTTTTGTTTCGCGTTTCTGATGAACGTTTCGAGTCACAGAAATTGATTTACACACTATACTTCATACACTCACACATAAACATGATGCTCATGCAGTGTTTTAGCAAAGACTGTACAGTGTAACACCGAGGGTGTTACACCTCCCGACGCGGCAACTCACGACCCACTCCAGTGTGAACAAGCTTCATCCATATGAAACTCACTTTACTCGCATGAAACTTTCATCCTCTCTCTTCATCGATACTCCCTATAGTCCAAATTGTAAGTTGTATTTATCTTTCTAGATGCATAACTTTTATGCGTCGCGTGCCTGTCCTCGGTAGGTCTGCGGAACTGCGGAAAACGGTGGACGGATGAGGCGAATGGAATACCCATCCGACCACGCCGGCTGCTTTTCATTAGACGGCCAGAGTCCTCTGTGGCTGTCTCTTTCCGCTCAGCCAGGCAAAATATTTGCAGTCCAACTGAAATTCACATTAACATCTTACCGAGGTAGTGCTCAACTCATAAGCGCCAAAGCCGGTAATCATCACAATCACATAAACTTTCTATACAGCAATATTTAAGGGCACAATGTACCTTCACATCAGACACTACAATTGTCAAACACTACAATGTACCAGATCTTTGGCAGCAAATGTTTGTACACTGTTATGCAAGTGAATCCATTGATCCATTTGAAGGAGAAAACAATACAAACCGAACGGGTGTATTGATCAACAAACAAGGAAAGCTACATCCCAATATATAGGGCGTACCCAGTGCAGAGAGCTCCCGCTCTGTGCGGGGTCTGGAGAAGGGTGTCAGTGGCAAGCCTTACTCTCGCCTGTGCAATACGAGGAGACCGCGATTCGAACCCGGGACCTTCCAGTCACAGACGGTAAAACTCTATCGCTTGCACCAGGCCCAATATACAGGCAAAAAAAAATACTCCCTACTACAAACAGGGCATGGAGGGAAGAACAGACATCCCAGACTACAATGGAAATAGAAGAACAGACATCCCAGACTACAATGGAAATAAGAAACACAAAGAAAATTGTCTGGTCTGCCCTGCCCCACCCTCTGTTGAAGTACAAAGTTTTTGATATTTGTGTCACAATATACTCGCTTTATGATCATGCATGATGCCACAAAGGGTGATCTCTGTGGATAGCTGCTCAAAGGAGACCGACGAATATTGGTTGTCACTAATACCTTAATCTTGTATGAATTTGTTGCTAACACCTTATCTCATATGAACCACCTCTCGTGATGTAGCGAACCCACTCAACAGTGTTGTAACCACTCTTCTCCCAGACCTGGAAAATGTATCACACTATGAGATTTTCCATCTCAGATGCTAAAAGGTTCAAACCAACACTTGGTGCACACACCTTAAGGAACCGAACACGTAAACCAGAAGCAGTGAACATTGGAACCTACAGGATCAAGAAACACATCACTACATCAGATAGAGCACGGAGGATAATACTGGAGAGAAAAAGTAAAACAAAGCATAACAAACATTTCAATATTCTATCACAACGACAAAGCATGAGCAGATATTATACTTGACAATATAAGGCAATGCCTCAAACAATATTCCGATGATGACAAAAACTACAAAACTCAATTTCTTGTAGGACCAAGCACAGTTCATAAACAAAGAATGTATATTCAAGCTCTCTCGCTACTATCCATATCCAGTTCCAAATTGCAATAGACAAAATGAAGCACAAAGAAAACAAGCATGTTTCCCCTTCCATTGGGGTTAAGAGTATTACCCGGAATTCCATCCGGATAGGTGGTACATTCCATGACTTCTTTTCACCCATGGTAGAGATCAACTCCACCTCTGCGCTCATAGTTGCCTCCGTCTGTCAGAGAATTTCCGATCCTGTAGTTTAAGTGTGTATCAGCTAAAGTAGCTTTACTACTTGCAATGTGTGAGTGGAAAAACCGAAAAAGTTCTTAAAAGGGTAAAAGTAACTCCCAATGTACAATAGACAATGGTAACACATACTTCCACGGTGAATGAATCGAAGCATTGTATTTTGCTTTGCCCGACGTTGTTTGGAAACTAGTCTTAGGCATGCGCTTTGGGCTGGGATTTTAACAACGACACCAAGTGCAAACATATTAGCACCGAAAACACTCTTGACCTATGTTAAAAAAACGAGGTTCATGTTAGCAAAATTCGATTGTGACCCCAGGTACCCACTCATGTACATATGCTTACTTTCACATTGATCTCCATGCGTGTTCGGCCCAATTCCTTGATTGTCTGTAGAACACGGAATGGGAGGTTTACACCCTCTGTGATTCGATACGCAACAAATTTATCTATCAAAATTGAAAAGCCAAAGCAATAGTGAAATTAATAATGAGTAAGTCATTAGTGGGGACAAAATTACAAACATAAAAGAGGAATCGGAAGGTTTACTTCATCGATTCAAATTCACCATCTGGTGGCACTGGCCGACTATGTTTTTTTCCGAGTTAAATCTTGTTAAGTTGACACTTTGGTGGAATGTTACATCATCAAGTTCTATGGTCTTCCCAATCAGAGAGCAAGAGAAGACAAACAATCAGTAACAAATTTAGCGAGAATGACAAAGAAAAGTGCCAAAAATCTTGTATTAATGAGCAAAACAACCATGATGCGCATGATTTCCTTTTGAGATTTTTATATGGCAAATTTTGCCACGGGACATCAAACATATGCCGATTGGCCATTTAACACCGCAAGCGCTGAAATATGCTAGGTACTATTATGGCATTATGAAAGTGTGGATCTTTTCTTTGAAGCACTTCGCAATGATTATAATAATCATTTATGTGATTCTAGGAAGCAGGAGTGTTAATTGACTTTTGCCCTTGCCTTCATCTTCCTCCGTTGGCGTGGACACATCCATCTCTCTCGTCCACCCAAACCTCTACGTTCTTGCCACCAAGCAAGAGAACAAGGAATGTGGTCACTCAATGTCGAGGGTCGGGAGGTTGAGTGGCCCAGTCTTGCCACTGGGTTTGTCGGGACAGCAGACTTGATACCGCCCATGTAAATCACGAGGAGCAGGATGAACGAGGCCGGTGATAGCAGATCCACACGACAACCTTGCCCAGTGGTGAGGTTGTGCTAGTGGACTTAGAGGCCGGGCGGGTTGGAATACCAGAACACATCATTTGAGTACAGGAACACAAAGACTTCTAGGACTACCTGATAGGTCTTTGGCAGAATGCTTGCAAGCTTGGACCATGAATCCAATGAATTCTGGATGCGGAACCAGAAGCCGCTGCTGTTGCTCATGCCCTCTGAGATTGTACCATGCCAGCGGTTTTGGTGTTGCCTGATCAGGGTCCATGGAACCGATAGTGGAAAAGGATCATATGTCGCCAAGGTAAGCAGGGGGCCACGGAACTCGAGGGACACGCTGACGTGGTGAATAGGTCATGGAGGAGGTTCTTGAGCATGACAGAAAGCACGCTGCCGGGCAGGGACCAAAGCATGGAATAGCATGTGACCCCCTTGCGGACGGTCCAGCGGATGCTGTGGGGGGTGGGGTCGGCGACGGCGGTGGCCGTGGCAGTGGTGCGGAGGAGCTCGGCGCTGTCAAGCTCGAGCCAGACAACCGCGATGCAATCGTACTAATCACGGTGATGGCGGTGAAGGATAGTACAATGAAGACAAGGGCACAGGGAACCTGGCGAGCGGCGCATACGCAGCCTTGGCAGTGGGGTACTGTAGGTGTTGACGAAGGGAGTATGAGAGCAATGGCATGACATAGACAGGGTCTTGCGCTGCTGCGACGAGACAAGATGCGTCCGTACTTCGGAGAGACGAGAGGATTCAGAGAGGGATGCGCCCACAACTCCACGTCACCGGGAGGATGAAGATGAAGGCAAGGGCAAAAAAGTCATCACACCCTTGTCGGGTTCATAAACCCGGGGTCCCTAGTGGACCCGCTTCCCTGTAATACTTGGCGCAGCAGGCGGCGCAGCGACCGCGCGTGTCTGGGCCAGCCCAGATACACAATGACAGACCGAGACCACGATCCGGTCCCTGACCGACACCTCCGGCCAGGAGACCTGGTCGGAGCCCCGACTGAAAGGCCTGGCGTGGTGGGACCGTAGTCCGACTCTGACCTCGTTCCTCCGACCGAGGATATGCCAGACCTTTGCTCGCCTCTCTTTTTCTCGATCGGGTCAGCTGGGTCAACCGAATGGGCCTTTGCTTTCGGTGTTGGCTCGGGGAGCAGGCAGAGCAGATAAGGTAAGGCGCTCAAGTCAACCGCAATACCGAGGACCATACCCTGCCATGCCCTGTGCACCTGCAGGACGATCTTGAAATCAAGCCATGTCGACGGACACTATACTGACCGCCAAACAGCGTCGAGCAGCACAAGCAGTATTATGGGTGTCATCTTTTGCCATCCCAGACGAACATTGTGCAGCCTGCCAGGTATAGCATGTCATGAACAGTAAGGTGGGCGATGGAGGCGTAGACAGTATGGCGGCCGATGGCATGCCGTACCCGATGGCGTGGGCGACAAGACTAGGTAGCACCTGTACACACTCTCTCCCTTTCCGTCTTTGACTTGTAAGGCCATCCCCTAAATCTATAAAAGGGGATGCACTCTCTCCTAAAAGGACACAGTCTACACGCTCTCAACAGTGGATAAGTTTGGACACACATTACCAAAGGACTTCTCATATCATCAACTACTATACAAACAGTTTCAATGTTTTATTCATGAGTCTTTGTGGGTAGCGGCTTTGACATTATATTTGTTCACACTACAAATTTTCGTAATAGAGAGCAACTACGAATTAGATAAACAACTGACAACTAGCATTTGCATTGCCACTTGGCCATAACACCTCTACATATTTTTATAAAAACAAATGGCATATCTTTGAGTATGTGACCATATCAGAAAAAAACTCATGCTTCAGGGTGCAAAGGAAACAAACTTAGGATAATATCATGCTAGAAGTTTTGCCATTATTTCGAGTTCGAGGCCGAGCAAGCAACACAAGTAAAAAGCAGCAGTTACACATACAAAGATAAATGTGGAGGCCAAGTGTGAGGTTTACCATCTACAACTTCAAATAGAACTATTAGTAAGGTCATTCCCAGGAACAAAGAGGCGAAATTTCCTGGACATATGAATTAAAGACTCGTTCTTTTCTTAGTATCAAACTGTCTTTTTCGTCAATAGCTCCCTCTGCCGCTAAATCCTCCATTCACCTAACATCTGTCAGATCCACAGTTCAGAATACTGGAAATTTTAAAGCCTAGAAGACATGAACTAGAGTTCTTGAACACTTGTACTAGGAGCAATCCATGTGCATATCAATAAGAACCAAGTCAACGCATGCTTATACCCTAAAATAATGGGTGTACTTACAGGTTGGAGGGGCTGAGCTCGATGGATGCCATTGGTTCAGTTCAAAGCAACTCCATAAAGATGGCAAATTTGGGACCGTAAAGGAGGGAGGCGTCATGTGGTTACAAGGCTGGTCGGATTTGGCTGCAGCATCGATGCCGGAGGGCGCTGGAGCTTCTTTGACAAAAGTGCATTCAGTTTGAGACAAGTAAATGAAAAGTAAAAGGCTGTCGTGTTGCATCTCAGAAGTTGACATCCTACACCCTATCATGCATTCATAAATTCAGTGAATTACATTTAGAAATTCAGAGAATTGCAAGAGACTACTGCACAGTTCAAGAAATTCAGAGACAATTGCATTGCAAGAGTAATTCAGTGACTACTGCATTCAGAGATTCAGAGGTGTAAACCAATAATGCTGGGCAAAGCAATTCAAGCCTTCAAGATATATACAGTTACAAACTACTGCACAGTCAATCACCTAATCTCAATTCTCAACCGGCCTGAGCCTCCCACGCGTACTGCTCATCATCATTGTGCTTGGTGGTCACAACAACCCTCTCAGCGACAATGCTCATCATCATTTTGTTGTTTTTCTTCCTGGACACATGAAAAATTGGAAGAGCAAGTAAATTGGCATGTGACTGGTAGTGATTGCTTCTTGAGGATAGCAGCATATATCTTTAGTACTTCTAAATCGAAAACGAACCCAACACATGTTGAGAGCAGTTGTGTCAATGACATAGACATGAATTTGATTCAAACTTAAATACATGGCTGCATGCAAACATATTTCTAGCTTATTCATATTTTCAATATTTCTAGCAGCAGCTCTTTAGATCTAAACTAATCCATGCTATCCAGTCCTAATAAAACATAGTTAAAATGCAATAGAGAGATTCTAGTTGAAATGTAACACATTGAAGCCAATTATCCATGTCTCTGCATACTGATGAGCCAGTTATCCACATGGCATCGATCCTCCTCATGAGCATATTCATTTATTTGGTCAACATCTTACAAGTGCCTACTAATAAACTATGATATGCAAA